CCCCAAAACCCCAAAACCCCAAAACCCCAAAACCCCAAAACCCCAAAACCCCAAGGTTAATTAATATTATTGAAATGAATTATGCGGAGAAATTAAGATGGAGTTAATACTTAGTCACTGCCATTATTGCAGTCAATACATGAACATAGTTCAGTACATTTAGCACCATGTTGGTGACACTCTCAATAATTATTGGAGCACTTTGAACGCTTACAAGTACAACCCTTAATGTGTCTTAAGTTAGAACTAGGAGCACTTGCTGCTTTAGAACCCATTCCTAGAGGTTGTGAAGCTTCTTCAATTTTGAGCTTCTTCTCGAATGCCTTAGGATTCCTGGATAATATCTTTTCCCTAATTTTAACAATTTCTTCTTCATTTTCTTCCATATTTTCTCAGTCGTTACAAGTGCAAGATGGGCCACAGAAGCCCTTAGATAGGAAGCACTCTCAATAAAGTTTGATGCACTTTGACCTCTTACACGTACATCCCTTGCATTCGCCCAAATTAGCTTCTTTGTTCATAAGTCTCGTGCTTTTTCTGATATTTGAGAGCTGATTTTTGCGAGTAGAAGAAGTTTTCTGATCTTGTACATTATTTTTCACTTTCCTTTTACGCATACTGTTCGAGTCGTTTTTATCCCCATTTTTGGAAGTCACTTTACTGGTCTTCTGAACAGCTCCAGAGATGATAGACTTAGAATTAAGCAGAGTCTCGAAGCAGTTATTATCATTTCAGAAGATCGGTAGTTCAGTATCCTCACCAGTTTTGAATCTTTTTCCCCTAATTATTGGCTTAGATTTACTTTTGCTACACTTCTTGGCCTTTTTATTAGCCTTTTGCTTATCTATCTTGGGCGTGTTATCAAGGACTCTTTCATCGGCCAAATCTTCTAAAAGATTCGGTTCTTCATTGTCGTTAAAGGTACATTCCAGAAGATCGGCATCACTGAGAGCATTTTTATGAATTTTCTTATCTCAGAATGATTGAATGTCCGATACATCTTCTTTATCAAAATCTTGAAGTGAAAATTCAGGAACTCCTGGAATGGGTTCCTCCTCTTCGGACTCAGATTCGGATTGGCTGATATACACATTCAAGCCCGTCTGTTCAAAATGTTTCCCACAAAGCCCTACTGTTTTCCGGTATAGCTGTAGGTCTGTACCCTTTGGCGAAATTTGATTAAATGGTGTAAGGCCATTTGAAGGATCTTTTTGAAGAAAGGCAGCCATAGGATGCACAGGTGATTTCACCTGAACCAAATTCTTCAGCTCCTGGTATTGATTCATTGTTTCATTAAGATTGCGAGGTTTCATGTACCCAGGAGATTTTTCGAACATAAGAGGGGTGAAGAGGTTCTTTTGGTCTTTGCTCTTAACCTCTTCACTATTTCATTCTATTTTATTATGACCATATTCGACCTCGAGTTTATCACTCTTAAGAGGCTCACTCTTGGGGGTATTTGCAGATGTCTTAACTACCTGATCTCAATTCATCTTACTCTCTTCAGCTTTCCTCTCTGCTCAGATATGATTTCTGTTATCTAAATTCTGAATAGCTTGCATTAGGTGTAGTTTTAATAAATATTGCAATTTCTCAATATAATGCGGTGTTATAGGGGTTTTGGGGTTTTGGGGTTTTGGGG